TATATATATATATATATACTTTCTACTACCACATCCTCCAAAAACCTTTATCCTGTCACCACTAACTGAAATATGACCTCTCAGACCCATGTGCTCAAAATTATATCTAAAGCTCACAAACAAGAGCTTTTGCACAGTCTCTCCTATGACTCGTCAAAGGGATCACTATGTTTTGCTTGTCACAGTCACAATATGCTGGGAGTATCTTTTTTGAAATCTCAGATTTGCTATTCAGTGATATTATGAGACTATTTCAAAATGCAGACCCTCTTAAGATTTAGACTTCTGATGTAAATATTTTGGAGTTAGTGAAAAAAAGAGAGAAAAACTGGATTAAATTCATGATCATTTCCATAAGAGGCTCTTATTAATACTATGAAAGCTGATGTACATATAGCACTTACTTTTCATCTATCCATTTACAGTGAAATGGTTTTGGCTTGTCACAGACCTCTCTAATAATTACCAAATGAAAATCTTACTATCTTGCTTACAGTAGTAAAAAACTAGAGATCATTTAAAGCTTTGTGAATGAGGCATCTTTCGCAAGCTCTGAAATTTGTGTGGAAAACAATGTTTTTCCACCTTTTTATTTCCAATTATGGTAATGTATTTCCCGAAATGTGGCGACAAACTGAAAACGTGCTTTACTGTGTTTAGAGTAAGGTGAGTTACATCTGTTACGTGTTAAGGTTGTTCTGCTTTTCTAATGCCTTTAACACTGCCACCCTGAGGAATTCAAAACTATTCTGTAGCAACCCTTTAAAAATGCAGTTATACTTTAATATGGACTATCATTTCCACATAAAGATGAAAGGAAGGAAAATTAAGGAATTTCGTTTAAGAGACTTTTGCTTGTTTAGTTAACTTAAAATGACTAATAACAGGTCATTTAAAAGTGGGACTATTACAGATGGAAAATATGCCATTTTAGGGTTGGGGCAGTGGCGCAAAGCTATGGCACGTGTGCTGTAGCCGGCTGTTGGTTATCAGTGAAAGCTCTAAAAGGGTTGCCATCACTGGGGATGTGGCTTGGGTATCAGAGTGGTTGTCCAGCATGCATGAGGCTCTTCAATCTCCATCACTACAACAACCAACCACATGAAAAACTATCTAGTTACAGTAAATAATTTTTCTTACCCTTTCTTGAAATACAAACATTGTTTCTTCATTTGTGGAATTCTGTTGAAAATATAAGCCTTTCATAGTCACCTAAAAAAAGAAAAATACATGTAATAAAGTCTTCTAGACTAAATGAAAGCAAGAATTGAAAAATAGTGTTGGCAAAAGATAAAACGATAAACAAAAATGCAGTTTTCAAACAAGTAAATTTAGACAATACTTCTTTCATTTAAAGTAATCAAATATGAGAACATGCAACCATCTCGGGTGCACGTCTAGGTTCACCATTGAATCTTTTATTTATAGGCAAGTGTATTCTAAATTTCACTTTCTTATTAAAAAAAATTGGTGTACTTAAGGAAAAAAAACTAAACCTCGTGAAGGGCAAAGAAGCTGGCCCAAATTTTAAAAGGTTTTCAAAATCTTAAAGACAATTAGACAGCTAGGCACAGTGGCGCACACCTGTAATCCCAGCACTCATGAGGCTGAGGCAGGAGGAACATTGTGAGTTCAAGACCAGCCTGGGCTACCAAGTGAGCTCAAGGCCAGCATGAACTGCACAGCAAGACCTTGTCTCAAGAAAGACCAAAAAAAAAAAGCAATTGGAAAAGTGAGTAATGAAGACACTGATTAAAACTGTGATCCAAATTCTCCATCAGTCTACAAACCACTTAATGCCAGTATTTAATCCTGTATTCTGTAGACCTCTTGAAGCACCTAACATTTCCACAGCTGTTTAATTTTCAGAATAATCACCCTGCAAAATTATTTTAAATGTAAATTTTAGAAGTATAACATAATACACAGAAATGCACACAAATCCAAAGTGTACAGCCTAACTTTAAAAGGGAATATCTTCATGTCACAGTAGGAGACATAATATGCAAGCTTTCCTATTTAATTATTAAACTTGGGCTTGTGTTATTTTATAAAGTAACTTAATAAGTTAAAATATAAAAAAGCAAGTTTCATTACATATATATCAACTATGTTATATATTTTATATGTGGCCCAAGACAACACTTTGGCATTTAATGCAATCCAGGCAAACAAAAAAGTTGGACGCTTGCATTATAAATTATTTCATTGTACTAATCAATAAGTTACTATCTATTATCTATTAATAAACATTTGAATTATTATAGTATTTAATGGTTTCCTATTGAGCTGCTATTGAAATATATCATTCAAATCTACAATACTTCATCCTTCAGGATTGATAATTCATACCTGTTAATAGAACTGGCTTGAAAATGTGGGGGTAGCCTTGCATGGTGGCATACGCCTGTGATCCCAGGAACTCAGGAAGCTGAGGCAGGGGGATCACCACAAATTTGAGGTTAGCCTGCGCTACATAGTAAGTTCCAGGCCAGCCTGAACTACATAGTGAGACCCTGTCTCAAAAAAAAAAAGTGGAAAGATTTGTCCAGAAATTACTAAAATTTTACTGTAGTTGAGCAATGGTTGCTTTCTAGGACATGATATTCAAATGCTGGAACAGAATATGAATATACACTGAAGTCATATAAAGAAATTATGTATAAGCAGGGTGTGGTGGCTCATGTGTGCAATCCTAGCATTCTGGAAGGTTGAGCAAGAGGTTCACAAGTTCAAGCCCTGCCTAGGCAATTTAGTGACTTAAGGAGACCTTGTCTCACAAAATAGTAAGTCAGGTGTTGTGACACAGGCCTGCAATCTCGGCACTTGGGAAGGTGAGCCAGGAGGATCGCTGTGAGTTTGAGGCCAGTTTGGCCACACAATCGAGTTCAAGGCCAGCCTGCACTACATAAAGTATCAACAAAACCCCCATAAATAAAAAAAACAAAAAACAAAACAAAAAAGGGCTTAGGGATGGAGCTCAGTGCGAAGGCCCTGATTCAGTTTCTAGTACTGACAATAAACAAGACAAAAAGACGGGCAGGGTTAAATCACTAAGTGAAGTCTTCCACCCCTTGGTGTCAGTGTCTGTGGGGCACGGGCAGGAAGAATCTCAGCACACACAGCACGTACCCCTGCCGCTTCTGCCCGGATTTCAAGGCTCTCTAAAATGCACACCCACTCCCCCAGTCTTCACTCTGTCCATGACTGTGCCTCCAATCCTGTCTGTCCTGTCAGAGTGATTTCACGTCAACACCCCCTCCCTGCAAGGCCTCCCGCACGGGGCCTGTCTCCTGAGGGTGCTGTACCATCTACAGATTCTGCGCAGTAGGTAAAGCTCAAAGCCGCCTCCTCTCTTCAGTCACCCTCAGGGACAGTCAATCTACCCCAACTGCTCCAGGCTTCTAGATTTCGTTCCATGCTAACAAACAAAAACCCTGTTTTATTTACTTACTAACTAGCTGGCTTTCCAAACTATTGCCTGGGTGAATCAATACCCCTTATCATTAGATAAATAAATCTTTGCTCCTATTTAGTCTGGAGCTAGTAAGGCTGTCTTTTCCAGAAGGGGAAAACTTATGTGTCAGATCTTGATTTCAAAGCATGTCTCTTTGTATTTTGGATGCCACTGTGTTCTCTGAGTCTTAATGTACGGCGTGTGCAAGAGTCACATGGACATCATACTATCCAAAGACTTGGAAGGTAAGATGTTTGCTTATATCCCTAGGGTCCTCAAAAGAAAGCATACACATAATAATACCTACATTTTTAGTTACATCATGCTAAATAGTTCTCTAATGGTCAGGCTGGTCTTACTGGTCCAATTAAGAACTGTATAGGATAAAAAATATTCTCAAAATTTATGAAGTAAGAAAAGAGAGACGTTTTCATAAAAGTGGCTAGAAAAACAGTGATGCAATACTGATTTGTTTTTGTGGCCTCCCAAAAAGGAATACCAACTCCCAGCACTAAGGAACTGGTAGCTGGGTGTGGTGGTGCACATCTTTAATTACAGCACTTTGAGAAGCTGAAGCAGGAGGACTGCAAGTTTGAACCCATCCTGGGCAACTCAGGCCCTGTCTCAAATTAAAAAAGGGCTGGGGATGTAGGGAAGGCCCTAGGTTCAAAGTCCCCAACCCCTACCTCTCACACACAAAGAAAATGGTATAACGGGACCACATAATTTCTAGGCACTGGTCCAGATTAAGTGGAACACCTGTCTATTACTTAATAAAATTCTGACCAGAGTAAGCATATTTGCATATAGGAAAGAAAATAACTGCATATCTTATAAAATAAAAATAAGAATAAAATATATTTGTAATGACATTTCTAAGAGTCATGTAACCTTAAAATTATATTTCCTACTATAAACTTTGCTAAACAAAAAGTACTATATAAAACATTTGGGGGGGTTCGTGCCGAGCGTTGAAAGCAGTGCTCATCACTCTGAACTACACCTTCCGCACAATATACATATAGAACTTTTAAATGACAACAAACCTGTTTAAAAAGGTAGGCTGATGGGAAAGGAGGGGGGAAAGGGAAGTAAAAAGGACTACGATCAGATATGTGTATGTACAAATGTCCCAAGATGAGTGTATCTACTATGTATCACAAACATGTAGTATACTACTAAAAAACGGGCAAAAAAAGTAAGCTGGTATGCCCTCTGAAAAGTGTAAAGACTTTATACTTTATAGGGTATATCAGAATTTTAAAATACTTGACATAAATTTGCCATCTAAAGATTTTGTTAGTAATACTTTAAATTTTTACAATGGCCAAATATTAAACATGCTAAAAAATTTATGGAAACAAAAATTAAGATGAGTTATTTTAAATAATTTTTGGTAAAAGCACAAAGAAGACTTTGCGTGAGTTAAACATTTAACCATAAATACAGCAGTACCTTGGCTCATGAGCTTAAGTTTTCCACATTTCTGGTTGCAAAGCGAATTGGAAGAGAACCAAATCAAATTTCCCCATATGGTCAACATTGGACCTAAGCACTGATTTTGCTTTAGTTCTCATGAAACTAGTTAATAAAGGCATGATCTGGGTAGGGATTTCTAAAAAATCAAGGGGAATAATTTCCAATGGCTTCACCTTTGTTACAACAGCAACATGAACTCCGCTGGCCCTGTTCCTGCTACACTTAATACCCCAAGAAGCTCATCTATTAATAATTGTAAATGAAACCTCCACAGATCATTCGTTATCTACCCTTTCAGGCCCAAAGTGTCCTGAGTATCAGATCAACCTCAAATTCAACAGACATAAAACTGGATTCATCTTTCCTACAAACAAGATTTGGCTGTAACCCTCAGCCATCAGAGGATTTCTTAGATTCAGTCATAACTACATCACCATAACCACAAACACATGAAGTTATCGGCTTTATTCTTTTCCGTTAAGATGTCCTGTCTGGCCCGCTCATTTTAGGGACCACCAGTACGGTACAGGCGATGTTTGAGGCCTGGAGTTTCATCTCTCTTCCTCCTTCTGGCCAATTTAATTCCTGAAAGTTCAAACTCTTCTTCTAAGCTCACATTTTATTAGCCTGTGACACAAACTTGGCAATACTATGACCACTTCAGAGTTCAGTTATTCTCTTAATCACCTTCATTTTTAAGAAAAGCAAAGATATACTGTCCAGCAGCAAGGCTCCAGAAAATCAGAAGTTGAAAAGTGGCCCCACATGCTCAATCTTGCCACTAAGTCAAGCTCCCTTAAACTGTCTTGGTATCTAAAGTCCTATTTCTTAACCTTAGGACCCGTGCCCAGCATTACAACAGTTAGATTATTATGGGGAAATGTTTAGTTACATTTTGATCCACTGGGAAGAGGTGACTTAATATCAATGTTTTCTTTTTTTTGAATAGTGTCTTGCTACATATATAGAACAGGCTGGCCTCAAACTTGAGATCCTCCTGCTTCAAGCTCCTAAATCTGAGGTGTGCATCACCATGCCTAGCTTAAATATTAACAATGTTCTTACTAATCTGTGAGATCCCCCCCATAGATATACATAAATCAAAAAAAGACATATGTCTAACCACATGCCCACCTACAGGACTTGGTTTAGAAATATAGTACTTGGTTTAAAACTGAGTGTGGTGGCTCAAACTTGTAATCCCAGCACCTGGAGAGGTTCAGGCAGGAGGACTGCCATGAGTTCAGCCAGCTTGGGCTACACAGTGAGTTCAAGG